CAGCGTGCCATGCTCCCAAACCAAGGGGCATCACAGAGCCAGGGCAGGGGGCACAACCCCCTCCACCAGCCCTCTTGGCAGGGCAGGGACACAGTGCCAGCCCTGCTCCTGCTGACTCACCGGTCAGAGGTGGGCCCATTCCAGGGCAGCGGTGGTGGCAGGTCAGCGAAGCAGTGATCCTCTACCAGGAACCTGCCATCGTCCTGCTCGGAGCCGTACACGGCCACGATGGTCCCTGGGGCAGAGTGGGCAGTCAGCCCTGGTCAGCACCCGTGGGGTGAGTCCCACTGTGGAGCCACCGCTGGCCCTTACCTGTCACCAGCCTCTGCACATCGATGGCTCCTTCCAGCTTAATCCGCTGCAGCTCATCCTCCAGGATCAGCTCGTCTGAGGGCTGGATGTACTTGGGCAGGGGCGGCTGAGGCACCAGGTTGTGCTGCAGGGTGGGCAGGGACAGCTCTGACAGCCTCAGCGAGGACCAGTGGCCCCCAGGGACCTTTTCCTGCCCTAGGTCCCCCCACCAGCATGGCCAACACCCCAGCCAGAGGCCCCGGCAGCTGGAGTCCCCCCGGATGGGCACGTTTCACTCAGCGCTTCCCTGCAGCATCCTGAACGTGAGCCCCATCCAAGGAGGAAGCAGCTCAGATGGGTGGTGGGAGCTTTAAACTTCCCAACGTGAGCTAGCTGGGAGGAGACAGGCCCCTGGCACTGCATAGGGATGCCAGAGGTTCCCTGACACCCCCCTCATCCCCCTCCCCTGTTGGCAGGGAAAGGGGGTTGCGTTACCAACCCCTTGGATCCAAACTCTTCGAGGGCTGAAAAATCATCACTGAGTGAGGGTGGTGGCAAACAGGGGGAAACAGCTTCAGATGGACAAAGGGTGGATTTGGATTAGATATGGGCAAGGAATTCTTCCTTGTGAGGATGGTGAGACATTGGCACAGGCTGCCGAGAAAAGCTGTGGATGCCCCATCCCTGGAAGTGTTCCAGGCCAGACTGGATGGGGTTCAGAGCAACCTGGTCTAGTGAAAGGTGTTCCTGCCCATGGATGAGCTTTAAGGTCTCTCCCAACCCAAACCATTCCATGATTCCATAAGCACCACACACAGAAACATGCTGGCACCAAGAAATGCCACCAAGCTGGCATCCAGGGACACAGCAGGCACAGCCCACCTACCCAGCTGTAATCCCTGCCAGTTCCCTGGCCACAGTGAGCATGGGGAAGCCACAAGCTCCCACATGTGCTGGCACATCCCCCGAGCTGTAGGGAGGAGGTGGAGGGGGTGCATCAGGGGAGTGTCCCTCCATTACCTCCTCGCTGATCTCCTGCAGGATGGAGGGCTGGAGCTGCATGGCCTTGAAGAGCGTCCCCACCACGCAGCACTTCTCGCCCGCCTGCAGCTCCGACAGCTTCCGCAGCACGGCATCGCTCCCTGCGGAGCAATGGGGGTCAGCGGCCTCGGGGTGATGGGGGCATGGCGCAGGGCTGGGGGGAGCAGCTGGAACGGCCCCAGCGCCGAGGCCAGCGAGAAGCAGCGGGAATGTTGGGAAGCCTCCTGATTTTCCTCGAGGCACGGTGCCGAGAGGACATGTGTGGGCCAGATGGGGCCAAGAAGCATTCCAGAGCCTGCAGGCATTTCCTCTGCACTGGAGGGGAAAGCTGGGTAGTGACAGGGGCTGGGAGACCCACAGCTCCTTGGGACAGTGTGTTTAGGTCCCAGGAACAGCTCTGCCCAGGAAGGGTCCAGGATGTGATGCTCCTGCCCTAGGGCATGGAGGGGCTGGTGTTCCTGCTCCCCATCCAGGACATGATCCAAACATCCTACTTGGAGCTGACAGGCAGATCACTCATCACTCCCAAACCTGACCTCTGCCAGGGCCAGATCCTCCACATCAGATACCTGCTGGAATTCAGGATCCCCATCACAGCCAGGGAAGATCCTGGCATGCTGACAGGACCTTGGGCTTTAGGCAGGGATCCACAGGGGATCTGGGCTGGGGGAACCAGCACAAGCCTTGGGAGCTGCAAGGAGCTCTGTGGCTGAGGAGCAAAAATCTCCCTCATCACAAACTGAGCCCAAAATTTCTCACCCCACTCCCAGGGACCCAGAGGTGTCCCAGCCCCATCTGGTATGTAGCTGTGGGACTGTCATTTCCAGTTTAAACCAGCCTGTGAAGCCCATCTCAAACCTTGGGCCCTGGACAGGGGGGACCAGCTCCTGGGCTCCTCTCCCAAAACAACACTGCCCATGGTGGCTCCCCATCCTTTCTGGGTGACATTTCCCCTCCCAGAAATCTCCCTTTGCCCATCACATGCTGCTGAACATGACTCCTGTCCTGGGGAGAGCACCCCGCTACCAACCCTGGCACCCCAGGTTGGAAACATGGATTCCCGAGCCCAGGAATGCAAACACTCTGAGTTAGAACAAAATCAATCCCATTGGAACTTTCTTATTCTTGGCTTGGACCCCTCAAAATGTGTGTTCAGGGGGAGGGAGGTTGTGCTCTCCTGATTTTTGCCTGCAGGCGCTTCCTGCTTGGAGACAAACACCCGAAATCTGGTCCCATCCTAGGACTGTGGGAGGGGGAACTTTACAAACCCCTGGGTCTTGTCACACTTGGCAAAGGCCAAGGAATGACATCTGCTGTTGGACCAGTGCTGGCTTTGCCTCCCCTTGGCTCCACGGGGATGGAGAGAGCAGGAGAACAGGAGTCCGGCCCAAAAGCCTCCACCAAAAGGGTTTTTGCCCATAGAAGGGCAAAGCTGAGGGAAATTCGATCTCAGATGTGCCCAGGCCAGGGGGGTGAGGGGGGGCAGAGCCGCCGCATTGCTTCATCCCGCGGACGGAAACTCTGAGTGCAAGGGTCCCACCCACGGACCACAAGCCCCCCCGGGCCAGGAAATGGCCCCCCTGGCAAAACCAGCCCTTCTCACCCAGCTGCACCCCCCTTACCCCACTTCCTGGCCAGGGTCCCCCACCCCCACCCAGACAAACCTCACACTCAACTCCTGCTCCCGAAAGTGCCCGAAAAAGAGTCAGGGCCCCCCTGCACACATTCCCTTCCATCTCTGATGGGGAAGGCAGTTCGTCCCAAGGTCAGAACTCCAGGTGGGAGCTGCAGAGGGAAGTCCCTGGATGATCCCATCATTGCAGTGCATCCCAGAGCTGGGGGGCTGAGCTGTTTGGAGTGGGCTCTGCCAACACGTTCCCTGCCAAGAGTGTAAAACGCTGCTGGAGACTGGGACAACTGGGCAAATTGGAGCTTCTCACATTGCAGGAAGGTTGCGGGTGGATCCCAACCTGGCAGGGATGGATCTCCCCCACTGCAGGGATGGCTGCTTCACCCCCACAAGGATGGATTTTCCCTGGCAGGGATGGATTCCCTCAGAGGGATTGATCTCCCTCCCCCCCACCAGGGATGGATTCCCCACCCAGTCTGGGATGCCTGCAGGGTACATCCAGCCTGAGGACGAGAACACTCATGCACTTTTGGACTCAGATTTAAATCTGGTAAACTGGAGGTAAAATCCTAATACAGCTCCACAGGTGCTTTTTTGCCAAGGCCACCCATGTCCCCAAGTGCCACATCCCCAAGTCAGTTAAATCCCCCCAGGGATGGAGACTCCACCCCTGCCCTGGGCAGCTGTGCCAGGGCTGGACAGCCCTTTCCATGAAGGAATTTCCCCAGTATCCAACCTGACCCTCCCCTGGCACAGCTTGAGGCCGTTCCCTCTCCTCCTGTCCCTTGTTCCTTGGGAGCAGAGCCTGGCCCCCCCCCGGCTCCCCCCTCCTGTCAGGGAGTTGCAGGGCCAGAAGGTCTCCCCTGAGCCTCCTCCTCTCCAGGCTGAGCCCTCCCAGCTCCCTCAGCTGCTCCTGCTGCTCCAGCCCCTTCCCAGCTCTGTTCCCTTCCCTGCACATGCTGCAGCCCCCCGGTGTGTTTCCAGGGCAGGGTGCCGACCAGCAGGGTGCCCCAGCTCACCCCAGCGGCCCCGCGCGCGGTGCTCCAGCGTTGGGCGCATGCCGGCGAGGCGCACGGCGTACACGTGCGCGTACTGGCGGCCGAAGCTGCGCTCGCCCGGCCGGAACGGCCCTGAGCAGTCCGAGTAGCCCAGCACTGGCACCCTGGGGAACGTGGGGGGCTCGGCTGAGGGGGGGCCCAGCAGCCCCTGCGCCGTGGGCGCCACCTGCTCCGAGAACATGGCCTGGAGTCCACGGGGGGTCTAACGGCACCTCTAGAAAACAAACGGGGTGAATTTGGGATCACCGTCACCCCAAGACACCACAGGCTCTCCCACCCCCCAAAACACAAACCATGTCCTCGTCTGACCCTCCCTCCACACATTGCACCCCTTCAGCCTCCCTTCCTTCCCTCCCCAGGGCATCCCCAAACTCATCCCGGTGCCAGGACCATCCCACCTCCTCCTAAAATCCACACCCCCGCAGCAAGACACCTGAAGCCCCCTCCAAATGCACCCTGGCCCCTGGAGCCGCCCCGCCTCCCCCCCCCAAATGGATCCTGAGCGCTGCACAGCCCCCGGGACACCCCCTGGCACCAGCGCCCCCCAGGACAGCCCCTACATGCTCCCCCGGACACAAAGAGCCCCCCAGGGCCCTCCGTGGCTCCAGGGCCCCTCCGGTACCAGTGCTCCCCCAAGACAACTCCGAACATACTCCTCCTGGCACGACCCCCGGCCGAGGCACTGCGACCCCCCCGCACACGTCCCTGGCACCAGGGACCCCCCGAGGACGCCACAGCCCCCCCCAGCCACCCGAACCAACCTCCCTAACCAGGGTCCCCCCGGCCCCCAAACGGGGGGTCCCGCCGTGCACGTACGGGGTCAGAGGTCAGAAGTCAAGGGTCGGGGGTCGCCGCCGGCACCGGGACCCGCCATGGGGGGCGGGGCCGGGAAAAGGCGCGAACGTCCCAAACCCGGAAGTAGCGTGACCACATGGAGGAAGTGACGTCTGCGATCGCCATGGCAACCGGGGAGGCGGACCTGCGGGGGCACCGGGCCATCGGTGGCAGGGACACCAGGACCGACCCCCACAGGGGACGCCAGACTGAGCCCGGGGGGACACTGAGCCCAAGCCCCGGGACTCCCCAGTCAGAGCCCGGGACGAGACGAAGGGGACCCTGGGATGGAGCCCACGGGAGTCTGGCCACACCCCTCTGCCCCACACTTTGGGGCTCACGGGATACCCTCTTGTGTCCCCGCACAGCCCCGCAGCTCCCCTGCTCCTGCAGCTGGCGGGGTGGGGGCCCCTGAGCCCCCCGTGTTCCCCCCAGACCCCCCCGCGTTACCCCGAATCCCCCCTGGGCCCCCCCGTGTCCCCTTCCTGCAGGGGCGGAGGTGTGAGGCAGGAAGGGCTCTGGGGAACAGAGATGCTCTGTTTTAAGGGGGTTTGGGGTTTTGGCCTCCCCGCCCCTGCAGCCCATGGCCCCGCTATAAAAGGTGTCCAGGACACAGGCTGTCACCCACTGCCACCCACCCCCTCAGCAGTTCGACATGGCTGCCAAAAGCTCGACCCTTCTTTTGGTGCTGGTGGTGGTTGGAGGTAACGGGGACCCTTCTGCCTTCCACGGGGGATGGTCACCCCCGGGTGGAGGGACAGGGGACACCTGAGGACAGCGGGAATGACAGCCTGGATGGCTGCGCCTGGGGGACTAGGGTCTGCGTGGGGACCTGGGGGTGGCAGGGATGGGGTCGGCATGGGGACAGGCATCCAGGGATGGGGGAGAGAGGATGAGGGGACAGGCAGGAGGGGTGGTGAGGATGGTGCTAAGCACCTGGGGCTGGTGGTTCAGGGTTCTGGGCACCCTCGGGGGCCTCGGGAGCTCAGTGACAGGCCCCCAGCCCGTGGCCACACTCACTGTTCTGTCCCCGTGCAGCGGCACAGGCTGTGGCCCCCCTGCCCTGCCAGGGTGACCCCACGTCCCGGTGCCAGGACACGGCCATGGCCACACGCTGCAGCCAGGAGCAGCAGCGCCAGGACCTCTGGGACAGCCTGGCCCTGGTGAGCACCCACCTCCCACTCCTGCCAGGGCCACCCTGGGGTCCGGGCAGCCCTGACAGTCTGCGTGTCCCCACAGGGGGATGAGGCCGACAGGGACGACGTGGGGCGGGGCCGGAGGATTAAGTGCAGCCTGTGCACCAAGGCACTGAAGAAGATACAGACGCTGGCGGGTGATGACCCTGACGAGGTGAGGGGTGACAGGGGCCTGGAAGGCTGGGGCAGGGGCCATCTGCCCACGGCCCCCTGACCCAAGTGGCCATGGCAGGCTGCAGTGACAGCGGCGCTGAAGAAGGGCTGCCGGTTGCTGGGCCGGTTCCTGGGCAGGCAGTGCCAGAAGCTGGTGAACCAGTACCAGGACCAGATCAGCCAGGGGCTGCAGAATGGGGACACGCCCCGGGACATCTGCACCACCATGGGCATCTGCAAGGCCTGAGCATGGTCAGTGCCTGCCTGTACCCTGATCCTACAGCCCATGTCCTTCACCCCATGTCCTGATCCTGCACCCCACACCCTGATCCTGCACCCCACACCCTGATCCTGCACCTCACATCCTGATCCTACACCCCCCTGATCCTACACCCCGTATGCTGATTCTGCACCCCATGTCCTGCACTCCACATCCCGATCCTGCACCCCACATCCCAATCCTGCACCGCATATCCCGTTCCCCCACACTGTGTCTTGTACCCTGTATCCTGCACCCCACACCCTGATCCTGCACTCTGTGTCCTGCACCCCATATCCTGATCCTGATCCCACATCCCCCACCCTGAATCCCACACTTTGTACCCCACAGCCTGATCCCACACCCTGCACCCCACACCTGCCTGGGGAGTGGTTGGAGGTCCTGTGCCTTCTCTGCTGCCCTCCTGTAGGATGGGAGTGAGCTAGAGCACCCCAGAATGTGTCCTGGAGCAGGGGGACGGCTGGAGGAGCTGCTTCCACTGGCCTCCAACTCACTCCCTGCTCTTTCCTGTCTCCACAGGGTGCAGCCCCAAGTGCCCCACGAACCCCAATGTCCCCCCAGCCCCTGATGCCCCCTAGCCCCGACACCCCCTCCCCCACAATAAAGTCCCTCCTCTGGCTGTGTGTCTCACATTTTTCTGCCCCAGGGGGACTTGGTGATAAGGGCACATGGCACGCACCTGGTACTGGCCCTGGCCTGGCACCAGCAGGGCAGAGGGGACACTGGAGGTGCCAGCAGTCGCATGGGTGTCCCTTGGGGGGTGTAGCAAGCAGTTCCCTCTGCACACTTGAGTGGCCCCAGCTGTCACTGTCCCCTCCCTAGGCACCAGCACGGCCCCATGCCTGGCACTGCATCTGTTCACACACTTGGCACTGGCACCAGCTCGCCACTGGCACTGCCACTAGCTTGGGATCATCCTCACTGTCCCCAACATGTGGCACTGGCACTGTCCCCACCGAGCACAGGGAATCCCTTCATCAGCCCCAGCCAATCAGAGCACAGGGAATCCATTTTTGGCCATGGCCAATGAACACAGGAAGCCTGAGCTGCTGCTGGCTGCAGCCAATCAAATCACGGGGAATCCTGCTGGCTGAGGGCTGCAGCCAATCAGAGCAGAGGGATCCCCTTCCCTCCTCCAATGGGTTGTGGGGATCCCAGTGCCACCTGTGGGTCTGGAGGCTTCAGGGGTGGCACAGCTGGGGTGGCCTTGGGGTGACGCAGACTCCCCCAGTGTCCCCAATGTCCCCAGCCCTCCAGGGTGCCCCCGCAGCCCTGGGGTGATCCTCTGCTTTGGGGGAACACCAAGACCCCGCAGTAGCCCCAGACCCCTGATTTGGCCCCACACCCTGTGGTGTCCCAGCCCCCCCGGGTGGCCCCAGATGCCCAAGGGTGACTCCAACACGCTGAAATGTCCCTACATCCTGGGGTGCCCCTATTGCCCAAGGTGACATGGGAGAGCCCCCTGAGGTGGCTCCAAATATTCCATGGTGTCCCTGGGCCCCCAAGATGGTCTATAACATGGGGTGGCCCGACACCCAGGGCTGGGCCCAATACCCTGAGTCACAGACCATGAGGTGTCCCAAACCCCCAAAGGGATCCCAACACCCTGGGGTATCCCAGGAGGACTCCAACACCCTGGGGTGCTCCAGACCCTCAGGGGGACCCAAAACTAGGTTGCCCCCAGAGCCTTCAGGGAACCACAACATGTTGGGGTACTGCCAGATCCTTAGAGGGACCCCAACACCCTGGGGTGCCCTCGACCCCCAGAGGGGACCTAACACTGCCCCAAACCCTTGGTGAACTTGCATCTCTGGGGTGCCCCAGACCTTTCAGGGAACCCTACCACCCTACCTTGGACCCTGATTTTTATCTCCCCCCTTATTGCCCCAAGCTAAATCGGGAAGGGACTGAGCAGTGGCACCCTGGAGCAGCATGGAAAAGCCCCGGAGGGCACCTATGTGCCCCTCTGTTCAGGGTGGGCTGGGACCCACAGGGTTTTGGGGTGCTGCTGCTGGTGGAAGCGGGATTTAGCCTTGTTATGCCCAGTTTGGGGGGTCTGAGTGCCCCACTCCCCACCCTGTTGTGGGGACATGGCTGGAGGGGATCCCCCCAAAATGCACCCCTCACCCTTGCAACTGGCCCAGCTCTGGTGCACTCTGGTCAGTCTCTGCACCCCAGGGCTCACTGGTGGGGGGCTCCTCCACCCCAACCCCCAAGTACCCATAAAGAGCCCCTTATCTCTAAGCCAATCTCCCTGGGGGGCTCTCCCCCAGCAAAGGAGCTGGGTGTGTCAGAGCCCCCTCGCTGCAGCTGGGTAAGGATGTAGGGGGACGAGGGGATGGGAAGCGCCTCGGCTGCCCCATACATGTGGGGCAGCCCCATGTGGGTCTCCCTGCCAGCACAGGGGGACACAAGGAGTGCTGGCCCAAGCGGCCCCAGAGAAGTCCACACATACCCCGTTTATTGGGGGGCTGGAGCCACCTCTTTTCTGCACCTGTGTCTGCTCCCACAGCGCTCCGAGTGCGACCACTGGCCCCCCGCCACCCCCCGAGTCCGGCTCACTGCCCCATCATACAGGCCATCTTGCAGGCCACGGCCGAGATGAGGGCGGCCCCGCGCCCGCTGCCCTCCTCTGACTGGATGAAAGTGATGTCGCAGCCGGGTGTCAGCTGCCGCACTGTGGCGTGGAAGTGGTCCTTGAAGCTGGAGAGTGGGAAAACGGGGTCAGAAACAGGGTCACAAATGGGGGCTGAAGGAGGAGGATGGCAGGAAGGCCCTGGGGATCCCCACCTGGGATGGAGCTTGTAGACGGAGCCGTCAACGCCGACGGTGATCTTGAGGGTGTCCTGGCTGCGGCTCTCGCGCATGCGGTTGATGACGCCGGCCAGCCCAGCCGAGCACATCTGGGCGGCGCGCGTGGACACGCTCTCGCACACCCGGCGCACGATCTCGCAGTCTGTCCGCGATGGCAGCAGCTCGAAGCCTGACAGGATGTTGTAGATTTGCTTGCGGTCGTCGGAGTCGCTGGGGTGAGGGGAGAGTGGGGGTCAACGGGGAATGTTGGGGGAAAACCCATTATGAGGCAGTTGTATGGGGTGTCAGGATGAGGAACCCCAATTGGGTCAGTCGGAACAGGTTGGTGTGGGGTGATGGGACAGAGGGACCTGGATGTGGGCCACCCTGATGTGGGCTGATGGGACAAGGGACCCCAACATGCACAGTCAGAGCAGGCTGCTGTGGGGTGATGGGATAAGGGACCCCAATATGAGGCAGGCAGAGCAGACTGGTATGGTGTGGTGGAACAGAGGGATCCCCACGTGGGACAGCCTGGTACAGACTGACAGCACCTGGAGCCGTGTGGACTGGCAGCACAGACCCCCAGCACGGTGCAGCCTGGCAGGCTGGTTTGGGGGTGCCGCTCCCCAGCCTCACACCTCTCGATCTGGGACATGAAGCGGGTCTCGAAGGTCCCACGGGTCTTGAGCTTCTCAGAGGCCTCCCCATTGAAGAGCAGGTTCTCATCCACCAGCTTCAACAGCACCAGCCGCACTATCTCCCCCATGTACTTTCCCCCAATGATCTTCTCGTACCTGGGGGGGGACACAGGCGAAGGGGCGGTGTCAGGGCTGGGATTTGGGGGGCCACATCGCGCGGCACCCCCTCTTTCCTTCCCCCCTCCTTGCCGGCTGTGTCCCTGCACGTGGGCACAGCCTGGGGCGAAGGACCTCCGTGCCGGGGGGCTGAGCCCAGCGTGGCAGGGGGTCAGGGGGGACACCCAGAGGAACTGGATCTCTCCTATTCCTTACAGTTGCTGACCGGGGTTAAGGGAGGTCTCGTCCACCACGCGGTCGTACTCCAGGAGGAACTCATCCAGCTCCCCCGAGGCGCCGAAGGCCCCCCACTCTGTGTTCACACACATTCGCCCCTCATCGCCCTCGACCAGCTCCACGTTGTGCATCTCCTCCATGTAGCAGGCGTTACAGCCCGTCCCTGCCAGGAACCGGGGACAGGGCCAGTGGCGGGGGAACAGTGACCCCCCCACCACGGCCCTCCCATCCCAACTGAGATAAAGCTGGGATAGTCTTCTGGAGCAATGGGGGGGAACTGGAGAAGGTCCAGAGATGTGCCAGGATGGGGGTTGGGACCTGTGTGGAGTCATTCCTGAACCTGTGAGGGACATTCCTCAGCCTGGTGATGTGGCACCATGGTCTACAACTACTTCAGGGCTGGCTCCAGAGGTGACAGAACATGGGAAAAAGGTTTTATACTAAAAGAGGGAAGATTTATATGGGACATTGCAGAGAAATTCTTCTCTGTGAGGGTGGCAGGTGATGTTTCTCAGAAAAGCTGTGGCTGCCCCATTTCTGGAAGTGTTCAAGGCCAGGTGGGAAGGGGCTTGGAGCCACCTGGTCTAGTGGAAAGTGTCCCTGCCCATGGCGGGGAACTTGATGATCCTTAAGGTACCTTCCAACCCAAACCATTTCATGAAAGCTGGAACCAAGGATGGTTGGGAACTTACTACATAGGTCCCAAATCTCTATCCCTATTCCACCCAGCATTGGGATGCAATAGACTCATCAAATCATAGAACCATGGGATGGTATAGGTTCAAAGAGTCCTTAAAGCTCATCTTGTTCCACTCCCTGCCATGGGCAGGGACACCTTCCACTAGACCAAGTTGCTCCAAGGACAGAAAGGAAACGGCCTCAAGTTGCACATGGGGAGGTTTACGTTTGGACAATTTCTTCATGGAAAGGGCTCTCTGGCCCTGGCACAGCTGCCCAGGGCAGTGGTAGAATCCCCATTCCTGGGGGGATTTAACTGACTTGTGGATGTGGCACTTGGGGACATGAGTTAGTGGTGGCCTTGGCAGTGCTGGGGGAACGGTTGGACTTGATGACCTCAGAGGCTTTTCCAACCCAAACAATTTCATGTTTCCATGCTAGACCTCATTTCAGAGTAAAGAAATGGAACAGCTGGCCCCTGCTGCTCCATGAGCACCGGGACTCGGTGACCGAGATCGTGGTTGGGGGCTCGTGCTCGGAGCTGCATGTCCCCATCCTGCGGTGACAGGGATGGTCATCCTGCCCCCCCTGCGCCCCCACAGCCCTGGCTGGCCCCTTGTCCCCACAGCAGGGTCCCAGGGGCTCCGGGTGCTGTGCTGAGGCCAGCCCGGCCCCAAGGAGCTGATAAACATCCCAGTGCGTGTTTACCCAGGCGAGGGGACGCAGAGCCCAGATGGCACATGGCTGATGGCACTAAAGATAGCAGGGGGCTGGGAGAGGCGGGGGGCTGCTCCCTGCAGGGTTCAAACCCATCCCCACCACCCAGCTCCCTGACACCAGTCACCTGCCATGGGTCTCCCACGATGAGGTGCCACAGCCACCAGCAGCCTGGGGGGAGGGCTGTGCTATGGGGACCAGCCCTGTTATGGTGACTACCCCCTTTCTACTCCTGAGGCACTCCCACCACCGTGCTGGGGACAGACAATGCCATCGAGTGTCCCAACCTCTGGAGGCCTCAGCAGGGTGCCATTGCCACCCCCTTGTCCTTGGTGTGCCCCTCCAAAGGGACGGGGGGAGCAGCAGGGGAGCAGGGCCGGGGGACGGTCCCTCCTCC